GAGAAGAAAAGAAAGGGAGGAGGAAGGAGAGAGAGAGAGAGAGAGAGAGAGAGAGAGAGTCCATGTCGGAGTAGTGGGAGGAGAGCACCACCTTGTCAGGGCTAAGAAATCATCATTTCCCTGATACACCCTAGTCTAGCCTGCTTTCCTGCTTTTAATTCAGTAAGCCCAAACATGTCCAACAGGTCGGGAGCCATAGGGTCTTGGTCAAGTTCCTTGCATTCTGACAAAAATGGAAGGTCCAGTTGGGGCTGAGGGAGCTGAGACAGAGAGTAGTGTGGTGGGGGATCCATCGGCGAGATCATATGAAGGGGCGTGGCCTCAAATATTGGCTGCTCTGCTTCCACATTTTGCAGGTTTGGTTTTACCAAATCTGGCAGGGGCACCATTCTGAACTCTTGAGAATTTGAAAAGCAATTGTGGGTTTCATAGTTGCAGCATGATGTGCCCTCCTCAATAGCAGAACTGCATGGATAAGAAGGAACCTGAAAATCAAAAAATTGTAAATGGAACACACCCGATAAACATTCTGTCTAGAAAGTTTGACAACATTAATTGCTACCTTAAGCTCTGGTAATTCATGACGGACAAGAGGGCTCTTTCCTTTGTTGTTCTGGGACTGTAGTGATGTTGATTTATGCAAAATCCTCTCGAACCCCTTCCGTCTCGTGCTCCAGAAATTTTTTACATCATTGTCGGTTCTCCCTGGCAAATACGTTGCGATTTTCGCCCACTTGTTCCCGAATTGTGCTTGCAGTTGTATCACCATCCTCTCTTCCTCCGCTGAAAACTTGCTTCCACTTCGTAGTAAAGTTCACATTTTTCGTATCGTTAGCATCAATCTTAAGCAGGAATGTTACAGAAACACAACAAAAAAAATTGTCCAAAACCCACCAAGAACCAACAAAGAAAACATGCTAAAATAAAATAGAAACCAAAACTGCATGTTGCATGTAAACACATATATAAAAATTAGTGTTTGCTAATATAAATTATGAGGGCTTACGTCTTCAAGTTGGGTCTAAGCTTGTTAACCCATCTGAGACGACATGATTTTCCAGTTCGTGGCAAAAGGCCCTTGGATCGAATGGAGCTCCAATCTCTTGGACCACATTTCTTCACATGACTTATCAGTACCTCATCTTCTTCAGCAGTCCATGGCCCCTTCTTAACGTATGCATTTGGCCTCTCCATTTTTGAACAAAGTCTTTTTTTTTTTTTGGAGATCAGTAATTTTCTTCACTCCAAATTCTCCATAACATATACTTTTCCATCGATTTTCTTACGAAAATTCATTTGGGTTTCTTGCCACTCTGTGTTCTACCAATTTCGTGCTACTCCGATCGGGAACTGCTACCACTTGGTTCTGCTTTTGACGTTTTGCTACAGATTTTGATTTCTTTGTGGTTTTCTTGACCTTTCTATGGTGATCTTGGCGCTTCCTCTTCTTACTCCTAAGGTTCATCTTCCAGGGCACAACAGGAGGAGCCTCGTCCTCTGTTTTCACATCTTCTTCTTGAATACCATCATCTTCCTCTATCACAGTTATTGCTTTCTCACCATATATTTCCTCCTCATCACCCACATAGAAACCATCACCATTGTCCTCTAGCTCTGTTAGCTCCTTCCCCTTCTCTTCTTGTTCGTCAGTACTAGAGCTCGGTGAAGGCTCATGCCTGCGCAGGTACCGAACCTGCCGGCGCTTACCCCACGTCGCCATCCCAGTGAACTTTAGCTCCGACCAGCATGGACC